GCCTCCCAAGTTTCAGTCCAGTCAATAACACGTTTTTTTCCACTAGGTCTGGACCTGGAAAGCTTTAAAGGCTCATTTTCCATTTTGCGCGGAAAAGTTCAGATGTGGGTCCTCATGCCGGGAAAGCCCCGAAGATATGAAAAAAAGGAAAACAAAATTCAGCCGGGACACTGCCTTCAAGTATCATTCTCCTGGCATATCCCTTCCCCTGTTCGGCAGATTCTGGCGGTTCCAGCATTCGGGGAGTTTGGACGAGTATCGGTGCGGTGAATGATGCCTAGGAACAAATTGCACGCAGAGCCCCTGAAATCCGCCTAGACCAAGCGATGAGACTTGATAATGATTTTTTAAATACATAAACATGCAACACCACGGTTCTATCAAAAGAAGAAAATCAAAGAAGATCCTATTTTACGGAGAAAAGAAAAATTTCGCGCTTTCTGAAGTGTTTGAAAGTTTGCGTCCGTGATTACGGACTGCTGCAGCGCAGACGAGTTTCGGAGAAAATCGGCGGGAAATTTCGATTTGATTGCGAAAATGCGGTTTGCAAAGTTTCAAGTTTCTGCCGTGTTCTTGCCACTCATTTGTAATGTTTTCGTTCTTACGTTTTTGACTTCGTAACTTTTGTCTAGCAACGGATTACGCGTGATTTTTGTTTATTTGTGATGGCATTGTCTTATGTAGTGATGTTTTCTAAAATTCCTCTTTGCACCTTTTCAGAATCATGGCATGGAACGAGAGCTTCTCAGCAGCTGATGGAGGAGGTTGGGCTGGTGATGCATCTTTTGCAACCGCACCTCCAAAAGAAGCGCAATCAGCGAAAATTGCCGAGAGGTTGCCTGTACCTGTAACTGTAGCGGATCTTCATGACTCAGCAAATGTCGAGGAGAAGTACGAACTCGGGGATTATCCATTCAGTACGGTTAGTTCCTTTGATTATCAGCTGAGCTTTTTTATGCTATCTGTTTCGAAATGTTGACTGTCTGCGAATGGATGTGAGTCGCAGTCAGTCTTTCAAAATATCTATAAACGCAGTATTGCACCCAATCGTGCTTAAAGTGCTTGGGACCGTCAAACACTCGTCTTCTGTTGGGATGCTCTCCATATTATCTGGCTTACTACTGGCCTTTGCAGCGAATATTGTAAAGGGAATTAGTAACACGGCATAAACGCGATTCTGTGATTGTGTACAGTAAGAGCAATGAATGTGCAAGAATCGTTATATCCTTGTTGAGTTTGAAAAAACGTATCCGCCTCAACTTCTCCGCTTTTGGAAATGGCTAATGAAGCTCCGAGCGCAGGAAAGTCCTGATGCAAGCATAGCCGCAGTCTATGTGATGTGACTAAAGCTCGATCTTTCATTTCATCCGAGGATGCAATATTGGTTTGAAACAAGAACAAGCTTTACACTTACCACGTTTTTGACCTGCGAGAGGTGGAGGGGGG